ATTACTTAGGGTCATTTGATAAAATTAGAGTATGGATGGTAAAGTACATATATTAAATTTACTAAAGTTTACAGCAACTAGAATATCTCTATTCCTAGGAAAAACACACATAGGAGCAAAATACATACAAACAGAGAGAGAGAGAATTCATGAGCACACAATGATAAAGCAAGAAGAATAATGTGTTTACAACTGGCGAATCTGGGCAAAAGATGTATGGGTGTTCTTTGTACTACTCTTTTTTTTTTTTTTTTAAAGATTTTATTTATTTACTTGTCAGAAAGAGAGAGAAAGAAACAAAGAGAGACAGAGCACAATCAGGGGGAGCGATAGGCAGAGGGAGAGGGAGAAGCAGGCTCCCTGTAGAGCAAGGAGCCTGATACGGGGCTCAATCCCAGGACCCTGGGATCATGACCTGAGCCGAAGGCAGACCCTTTATCAACTGAGCCACCCAGGCATCCCTCTTTGTACTACTCTTATTCTCGCACCTTTTCTGTAAGCTTGAAATTATCTCCAAGTAAGGGCGCCTGGGTGGCTCAGTCAGTTAAGCGTCTGACTCTTCATTTCAGCTCAGGTTATGATCTCAGGGTCCTGAGATCAAGCCCCAGTGTCAGGCTGCACGCTGGGAGTGGAGTCTGCTGGAGATTCTCTCTCTCCCTCTGTACCCCCTCACCCCGGGCATGTGCATGTGTTCACACTCTCTTTAAAAATAAATAAAAATAGGGGCGCCTGGGTGGCTCAGTCTGTTGGACGTCTGCCTTCGGCTCAGGTCATGATCCTGGAGTTCTGGGATTGAGTCCCGCATAGGGCTCCCTGCTAGGCGGGGAGCCTGCTTCTCCCTCTACCCCTCCCCGCTCTCATGCTCTCTCTCTGTCTCATTCTTTCTCTCTCAAATAAATAAATAAAATCTTAAAAAAAATAAGATATTTTAAAAATAAAAATATTTTAAAAAGAAAAAAGACATTATCTCCAAATAAAAAGTCTAAAAATAACACACTCTTTGCATAACTAATTTATATTGTTAGAAGTTAGGGTAATGGTTATCCACTAGGGCAGAATAGTGAGTATAAGAGAGCATGAGTGGGCTTTTAGTATGTTAATAATGTTATTTCTTGATTTGGAAGCATTCACAAATGTGTTTAGCTTGAGAAAAATCATTTGAGTTACACTTATGTGTACTTTCCTATAAATATATTTCAATAAAAACTTAACAAAATAAAAAAGACCTGCCAAAGGACCAGAGCAAAATTTTCTAGAGATGGAGTCTAAATACTTTTGTATTTCACTGATTGGAAAATTGAAAACACTTGCCTATGTATGTCTGTACAATCTAGACAGAACACTCTTTGAGGGCAGAGATTGTGTCTTCTTTCATCTATCATCTATACCACCTAGTAGAAGCCTGTCATGTAATTTTTCTCAATAAATACAGTAAATAACTTACCAATAAATATCCTATAATATAAATTTTCATTAAAGTAATTATCTTGATCCATTTATTTTAATCAATTTAATTATCAAATTATTTATTACAAATGATTTCTCAATAAATAAATATGCTTGTTAGTTGGCACTGGGTTAAATGGAAACTATTTTTCTTTTTAATTTTAAGAGTTTATTTGAGCAAAAATCAATTTGAATCGGGCTATGCCAAACTGGAAGTGGTTAGAGTGCTCTGCCCACCTGCAGGAGCTAGAAGACTTCTATAGAGAAGTAGAAGCAAAGCAAGGAAGTTATTTGATTGGTTATACCTTAAGAATTTGCCTTATTTGGAAAGGTCTCACTGACTTTTTGTGATGGGTTGTCCTTAGGGGTTTTTTTTATTTTTTATTTTTTAAATTGAAGTATACAGTTGACACACAATGTTACAATAATTTCAGGCATAGGACATAGTGATTAGACAAGTCTATACATTATGCTATGCTCACAAGTGTACCAACCATCTGTTCCGGACAATGCTATTACAATACCAGTGACTTCTCTATGCCGTACCTGACATACCTGTGACTTAATTCATTCCATAACTGGAAGCCTGTATCTCTAATTGGGAACCATTTTAAGCTCACATTAATTTAATGTTACAGTTGAATTACTTTGCCTTTGTACCCAATTCTTTTATCTTGAAATTACCCTCTTGTAAAACATTGTTCTTATCCCTACCCAAAAAACATTGTTAAAGAAAATTAAACTTAGTTTGAGGATTCTGTAATAGTCCTTCGTGTACACAGTGAAAAAACAGAGGAAGAACAATCTTGGCTGGAGGCTGAGAAAGATCATTTAACTCACACTTTTCACAACTCTTAATATTTTTCTCCTGTTAATCAGTTTCCATGTTAGGACCCAAAAACATGTTTCAAGGGTCATTTAGATGTCCTCTCTGATCAGAACTTAGAAGTGATTCACCATGACTACTCCACTAGCCCTTGTATGTTTTAAAAAGGCAATTAAAAGAAAAACTTCCCATGGACAGACACAGCCTCATGAGCACTGGGCTGGGACAGCAGAATCGATCCCAGCTCTCAGCTAGATACCGGTGTCATGTACAAATTATACATCCATATGCAGCCACCCTGTGACTCATCTTTGTCTCAGAAACTTTATTTTCTTCTTAAAATCATGACAATGATTTAAAGTCATTTATTTATTAATCCACATTTTATATATGTTCCCACATTCAATACGGTACTTGGTTTCTTCTCTCCAAATGAATAATCCTATCATTCCCTTTTATAGAAAACCTTCCTTTTATTGTTATTGCTCTTTGACTTACATCAACTATGAGTACTTACCTGATAAGCCATGATAGTACCATAATAGCTCCAAGTCCTTTTACTTCCTACTAGTCTGATCATTTGACTTTTTAGGTTTATAAACTTACTTATGAATAATTGCACAAGTGGATTCAACCTTATTTTACAAAAGAGACTCCGAAATGAAGGGCAAAGCTCTTTTGGGCAGAAACTATTCTTTTTAGTTGCATAATTTCCTTCAAAATCCTCATACCTGCAAAGAACCCTACAGGCTAGAAAATGCTTTTTTGAGATAGGTGGCTGCCTGCTTCCTAATTTAGTTAGATACCTGAGTCAAACAGTACTCACAGATTTCTAATATCTTTCATATAAATGGTTGAGTATCTGAAAGCTGAGTCTTTGCTTTATATGTTAACTCTATTCTGTGTTCCGAAAGCACAATATAAAAGACTGAAATGTAAAACAGACAAATCAGAGTATACTTATAAATTAACTAAAAAAAAAGTTCCTTTAACACATCTAAATTAAATATATGTATACATATTAAGCAATATTTACTATACAAATCATATATACACATATATGTAAAACCTATTACTGTTTATATGGTAAAACTTCACTACTTCAGAATAGTAGCTAAATGCCAATTATAAAAGTTTAACACAACTTATTTTCAAGTATCTTTGTTGACTGTAACTGGGCTAGTAGTGTGCCAAAATATAAAGATATAAAAAGATAAAAGAAGATCTGCTTTTTAAGATATATACGAATTCATAATCAAGAGGTCAATTATTTGAATATGCTGAAAAACATGGAACTGTTTTGCTATAAGAAAAACAATTCCTGGGGTGCCTGGGTGGCTCAGTTGGTTAAGCAACTGCCTTCGGCTCGGGTCATGATCCTGGAGTCCCAGGATCGAGTCCCGCATCGGGCTCCCTGCTCAGCAGGGAGTCTGCTTCTCCCTCTCCCACTCCCCCCTCTTGTGCTCTGTCTCTAAAATAAATAGATAAAATCTTTAAAAAAAAAAAAAAGAAAGAAAGAAAAACAATTCCTGGGTGCCTGGGTGGCTCAGTTGGTTAAGCGACTGCCTTCGGCTCAGGTCATGATCCCTGGGTCCTGGGATAGAGTCCCGCATTGGGCTCCCCCCTCCTCAGCAGGGAGCCTGCTTCTCCCTCTCCCTGCCACTCCCCCTGCCTGTTCTCTCTCTCTCTGTGTCAAATAAATAAATAAAATCTTAAAAAAAAAAAAAGGGGGCGCCTGGGTGGCTCAGTTGGTTGAGCGACTGCCTTCGGCTCAGGTCATGATCCTGGAGTCCCTGGATCGAGTCCCGCATCGGGCTCCCTGCCGATTCTCCCTCTGACCCTCCTCCCTCTCATGTGCTCTCTCTCTCATTCTCTCTGTCTCAAATAAATAAAATCTTAAAAAAAAAAAAAAAAGGAAAGAAAAATAATTCTTTTAATCTCATTTACATAATGAATCTGTTTGAGAGACTTTATTTAAAAAGAAAACATCAATTACTGTCTTATTTCCTGCCTAATACATAAATCAGTATATATTCAATAGGTGCTCTTTTCTCAAAATAATACCATGTAACTGCCATCATTAGTACCATGCCAAATAAGAAGGCTAACTAGTTCCAATATACTCTGTCTGCCTCCCTTCCAACACATACCCCTATAGAAGACCAATCAGAACAATTCATTAGTTTTTATCTGGCATTCCACATATTTTAGAATTCAGAAGCTCCTCAAGATCATTAGGCTGAGGGTGGTATCTATTATCAAAACATCTCTATAATACTTTAAAAAAAAAAGAAAGAAAATATTGATGCATATTTAAAATCCTAACTGTACTGTTTTCATACTTAGGATGTACCTAAGTTTATCTTACAACTGTATAATATGGGTGATACAACTTCTCATTGGACCTAACGGGGCTAACAGTCCCATTTTAAGTTCTTTTCGAGTAATTAAAAATCTAAGTTAAGAAGCATCTCTACATAAGCTACATAAACTGATTTCAAAGGTTTTAAAAAAAATGAATGAATATATAAAACTCTCCAGTTCACAAAACTATTAATATTCTTCTTAAATTAACAACCCTTAGCCAGTTCTCCAATTTAAGTTGTTCTAGAGACTGAATAATGTTTTAACTCAAGAAAAAGCACACATTAGTTTTAGTGATCATACACTGATTTATGAAGTACTGTTTCAAAAATTGTTTTTAAAAACATGTTTCTGGAAGTCTTACCATGAGCTGTGTAGTTTGTACAGTTAACTGGTTCTTGTGTAGCATCATTTATTTTTGGATCTTTACAAATATATGTGAGAAAAGTTAAGGAAATATGAACCACATCCCAACACAAAACATTATCATCTTATCTTTAATATCTTGTATTATATACTCATGTTCACATTCACACGTTAAAAAAAAAGCTGTTGGACCAAAGCAACAAGCACAACCACAAATATACCTTTAGTGTCACTAAATACTACTTGAACATTAATTTATTACAGGAAAAGTATATTAACTTAATACATATTAAAAGCTCTAGCAAAGGATGCCATCCTTAAAGAACATCAGTCAGCACAAAGCATAAAGGAAAATTGGAAATTAAAATCTTTACCAAATTATTGTAAGAGAGCTTCACGTTGGAAAAAATCAGTTTCCAGAGATTTGACTGAACTAATTTATGGGGCCCCATAGTATTGTCACATACATAACTTCACGTAGCACAAATAACCCTGTGAAGTAGATACTATTATTCCCATATTACAGAAGCACAAACTGAGGCTCAAAGTTTGAGAGACCTATCCAAAGTCATGTAACAAGTGACAGAGAGTAAAATCAGGTTTCCTGATTCCAAGCCTAGAGCGCTTTCCATTAGACTGCAGAGAAGATAGTTCTTTTAAGTGAGTCTACATGGTCTCCCCAACAGGATCTTAAGTTTTGAAAACAGGTATAATAACTGTCCTCTAATTTCAAAACACGCGCGGGCGGTTTTTGTTTCTTAAATATTTTATTGTCACTAAAATGGGATAAATAAGGTTTTCACGTCTCTGGAAACAGAGAACCTGACACCTCTTTAAGGTTTTTTAAGCACTACTGGAAACTTCATCTTCATGCCAGGAGTAACAGACATTTTCCAGTTTCCATCACCAAATGCTCAGCCACACCTCTCTAAAGTTCAAATCGTACAACTCTTAATACCATCCAATTATTTCTTAGAATCGCTGACATTTTTGCCAAAAAAGACTCAACTTCCTAGGTCTGTGATTCTCAAACTTCAAGCATAACAGTATTCAGTAAATTAGAGCTATTGTGTAAGCATCTAATAATGGCTGTCTCTCTCCGACTTACATAAAAATACTATATGATAGAATTTTCTTAATTTTAAAATTTTGTCTCAAGTCTTTCTTATATCTCTGGCTTCTGTTATTAATTTTTCTGCTCTACAACTTCTATTAAATGATCTAATTTTGTACAAAAGTAGCTATTTTACTTTGTAACTCCCATTTCATATGGATCATCAGAGCTATTACAATGAACAGATCCACTTAACCCCTTCAGCCTGTTTCCACATCTGTAAATAAATTACAGATAGTCCTTACTATGTGCCAGGCATTGTTCTATGTGATTCACGTGCACTACTTTCTCACAACAAACCTTTAAGTTGGTACCACTGTTATCTACATTTTTACTCAAGAGAAAACAGAGTTCAAATAACTGGCCCACAGTTACAACACGGAGCAGGAGTTTGCCCCCTGACAGTCTGGCATCTCACGGAGTTTGAGGATAATGTAAGGCAATAAGCAAAGAGTTAATGATAACTGGGCAATATACAAGGAATATATCGTTATTAACTACTTATTTGTCTCTGCCCCCAAGTCAGCTAACTTCTAGGGTGGAGCCTATTAATCTTTTTATTACTAGTGCCTAGAACAGGGCTTGGCATACTTCAGGATCTAGGTGTTTGTTGAACAAATAAGCCCACCGCTAATTAATTAATTAATAATAAAAACTGGTGGATCAGAAGAGGAAGCGCTAACAATCAATCTTTTTATTACTAGTGCCTAGAACAGGGCCTGGCATACTTCAGGATCTAGGTGTTTGTTGAACAAATAAGCCCACCAGTAATTAATTAATAATAATAATAGGTGGATCAGAAGAGGAAGCGCTAACAATAAGTAAAATCCCAAGGAAAGCACACAGGGTGACCGCTGTCCTTCCCACCCCCACATCTTTTTTCACATCCCAAAGTCCGTCGGTCATTAGAAGCCACAAGTCACAATCCCTTAAAGACAACCCTGGCCCCTGTTGAGGGCCGCGACTCACTCGCGACCCCTAATCTACCTCACCCCCAAGGCGGAGGGGGGGGCTCCTCACAGAGGATATTGTCCCAATTTGAGGTCCTCGCACTTAAGCGTCTCCTCGCCGCCAGCGGCGGCGATGGCAGCAGCTCCCCAAGGTCCCGTGGTGACTGACACGAACCACAGGACACCGAGGAGCTGGGCGGCCACGGCCTCCGGAGCAGCCGGCCAGGTGGCCGCCATGCTGGGGACCGACGCGTCCCCCACTACTTCCGGTTCCGCCTTTGCCTAGGCGGGGACGGGAGAAGGGCGGAGGGAGCGAGGCTCTTAAAGGGACCGTGCCTCGGTTGGAGGCTGGTTTTTTCCCCTGCAGGGCCGCGGATTTACCTGGGAGAGCTGTGATTTGTCTTTGAGATCCGCAAGAAGGCTGGCTTTGAGAATCAGCGGCCCTGCATCCACTGCTTCCCGAGCTAACCCTGCTGTGACTTTTCCACCTACAAATGTGCCAGCGGCATCCCGGAGATTGTTAAGCGCTTTACAAACATTATTTGGTTAAGCCTGGTAGGATTTGGGTTTACAGATAATGAGCCCGGCTCAACGACGCTAAAAAAGATGTCGACCTTAGTTACTGAGTTGGGATCAAATTGATATTTGCCCGATTTCAGAATCTGTGCTCTTACTTTTATGATATAATGACCTATCTGTTCGCTTAGAGAAGAACTTATGGAAGGCTCTTAAACAGAACTTAAGGACTCCATCACAAAAATAGGCATTACACTTATTTTTAGTAGTGGACATTTATGCGAGCGAGAGGGCCTGTAAGAAAAGGATATTAAAGAATTTACGACTACACTAAGTGAAAAGTTGGAGGTTTTTTCCTCCATCTCTTCTTTCTAAATTTCTGTATATTCTAAAAATTCTGTAGTGGGGCTATCTTTTATCCTGGGCAACACGTTTACTTTCTTTAGTGAAAGTTTAAGCCATCTTTTCTTTCTTTTTTTTTTTTAACGTAAAAATATTTGAATTTGGTGTCTTCTCATTCATAGTAGCACTAATTTTGAAGAATTGCATCATGCAGTGGTTCTCAAATTTTAGGGCGTATCAGTTACCTGGAAGCTTTGTTATAACACCAAGAATGGGACCCACCCTCAGTTTATGATTATGAAAATTTAGGGTGGGGCAGGGTAATTTGCATATGTAACGAGTTTCCAAGTGATGCTGAGATTGCTAGTCCAGAACCACACTTTAAGAAGCATCGGATAATGTATTATTGGAAGTATCATTTTGGAATAGGAGAACATGAAATTATTTGCAGTAATATTTTAGTATTGAAACTACAGTTAAAATTTTTCTTAAACCACTTTTTCGGCATTACTATGCTATTTCTATTTTTATTTTTATTTTTATTTTGAAGATTTTATTTAAAGTAATCTCTACACCCAAGTTGGGGTTTGAACCTACAAGCTGGAGATCAAGAGTCACAAGCACCCCAACTATGGTATTTTTAAATTAAAATATTTATGCTTAATTAAAGATTTAAGTGATAGGAAATTTGAAATTTACTAGTTCAATTTTTAAACTTTCTGTTTTAAGTTGACTTCTCTCTTTTTTCTCTTTCCTCCCTTTATTCTTTTCTTTTCTCTCTCTTCCCCTCCATAGAAATATTTATCAAGTATTTACTATGTGCCCAACATCAGGCAAGACCCTACAGACTCAAAAAAGGAAGAGACAAGAACCTAGTAATTAAACACGTTATGTTTACTAGGGGAAAAGCTAAACACTTAAAGTACTATTTGACAATTGTTAAAATAGAAGCTTGTACTAGTTACTGTAGTAGGACAAGGGTTTGGATTAAGATATTCCCCCCAAAACAGTACTTGGTACACAATGTTTTGTCACTAGATAAGAATAATTAAAAATGTTGTGACTCTGTCACTAGTCATAAGAATAATTAAAAATCCAGGCCAAACTGGAGGAACAGAGTTGTATCTTCATAGGATACATGACCATCTAAAAACATACAGCCTAGAAAACTATTAAGTTAAAATAATACCGATAATATATATAACGTACAACTCAACTACCATCTCTCAGCTTCATCCTGAGATGAAATTTAGCAAAGGGGTTGGGGTCAAGGATTAACTAAAATCCAGGGATACGTTTCAGAATATCTGCTACCTTATTATCTGGTAATAAAAGACACTGACTTTGCATTTTGACTACCATTTTAATACACTTTCAAAATGTTCTGCTTTGATTTTCAAAATACAATCTAAAGATAACCAGGATGTGAAAGGAAGACTTTCTAGTCCGAGTTTATTGAAATTACAACAAAATTAGGTATTTTCCTGATGACTGCAGGAATATTGCTGATCTTTGTGTCATTTTTCATATAGATTTGAACAATTAACTATCTGAAAATGCTTATGCTTTGCTGATTAATCCCATTACAAAATCCATTTTTATGGTTCTAATGATTATCTTCATTCTCTCCTACAATGTATAAACTGAAAAGAACAAAAGAGTCTCCCACAAAAGTAAAGAAACAATACAGAATTTTTAACTCTTGAACCAATGGTACACTTAAAAATTCACTTTCTCAGGTCACTGCCCACATTCTCCACCAAAAATACAAATAAATAACCCCTCACCGAAAAAAAAATCACTTTCTCTTCTTACTGCCCCTTAATCTATTTTCTTATGGTTTGTAAAATACATTACTTTATTTCTTTGCACACATAGTCTCTGATCACATGATTACTACATCTTCTCATTTTAGTAAGTTCTTAAATCTCAATCCTAGGTATGTTTTCAATGCCAAATTTCTTTGTCACATAAAAATTATATATTCTGTAGGAAGCAAAAGACATGAATAGCGCAGTCCAATATGGAAATTGCTGTATAGAAGCATTAGGGGGCGCCTGGGTGGCTCAGTTGGTTAAGAGACTGCCTTCGGCTCAGGTCATGATCCTGGAGTCCCTGGATCGAGTCCCTGGATCGAGTCCCGCATCAGGCTCCCTGCTCGGCAGGGAGTCTGCTTCTCCCTCTGATCCTCCCCCTCTCATGCGCTCTCTCTCTCTCTCTCATTCTCTCTCTCTCAAATAAATAAATAAAATCTTAAAAAAAAAAAAAAAAAAGAAGCATTAGGAAAGATTACCAGTGAAGACTGAAAAAAGTTCCTCTGGGATTTAAGGGCTCTGCACATTGGCTCTTTCCATTGCTGAGATTTTAGTATAGACCTTATTACATTAACAGATAGTTTCACCTATCACAAAACTTCCTGAGGAAACCAACCTGGGGGTGCCTAGCTGGCTCAGTGGGTAGAGTGTACAATGCTTGATCTTGGGGGTGTGAGTTTGAGCCTCACATTGGGTGTAGAGATTACTTAAAAAAATAAATAAATAAAATCTTTGGGGGGGGGAAGAAGAAGAAGAAGAAAAGAAACCAACCTGACTCCCATTTCCATGGTTAGGACAGAAACATTAAGAGGTAAAAGATTGTTACCCTCCAAAAAATTTTCTTTTTCATTTGACTGTGATGGGCAATTTTTTCCTCTTGTGATAAATTCATAATATCAAAGCTCTAGTAGATTTTTATTTTAAGGTTTATTTATTTATTTTTAGTAATCTCTACACCCAATGTGGGGCTTGAACTCACAACCCCCAGATCAAGAGTAGCATGCCCTGAGCCAGGCAGGGTCCCTGGTAGATATTTAGCATATCTGGAATCCTACTACATCCATGCTGTTGTCTCTCAAGTACTTCCGATTGTGTCCTCTCTTTGGTACACCAGTCTAACTGCCTACTATCTAATTAACTTTGACATCACTCAATAAAGCCTACTCTATGCGTAGGACCTAAAACTGACTCCCAGAGTCTGCTTCTCAAAAAAACAACACAGAATAAGTTGACTTTTCTCATTGTCACCACCAATATCCCCTTCTATCAGGTTCAAAATTTAGAATCATCTTTACACTTTAGTTTTCTCCTTATTCTTCAGTAATCCCTTTATCTAATCAGTAAGGAACTGATATTTTTGTGTTCATTTTTCAATCCTATATTCTTACCCTATTTCAGGTATTTATCATTTCCCATTTACATTGCCATCGTGGCTTCTTCCTCCTTTTTGATTCTAAGCCCTCTCTCTAAGTTTGCCAATCCATTTTTTTTATACTGCTTCTGATTAATCTTTCATCAAAAAAAGAAAAACCTGTTATATCATATTCAAAATCTTATTCAAAATCCCACTTAAGCTCCTTGGCATTGTTGACCTTGAAAATAAAATGGTCAGTTATTTTACTAGCAAAATGGTTTTTTTCAGAAATAGAGGAATTGCAAATTGAGACATGCAAGCTATGACAACCATCGACAAATCAGGAGAACAAAAAAGATGAATATTACTTTATAGAGAAAAAGGAGGAAGCTGGGAGGGGCTGCTTTGAACAAGGGTCCATTTGAGGCAAGTGAGAGTTCAGGGTGGTGATGGTTTCTCATCAGCTGACTTGTGGCAGTTTCTCATTGGCTGGGCTATTGCTGGGCAAGGAGAAAATCTTCCTTCCTCTTGCTGGGGTAGTAAAGTAGGCTTCTTTTGAGGGTCTGCAATTGACCTCAAGTTGGTAGGGCATGAGCCCTTCCTCTTCAGGCCTCCTTACTCTATTTTAAATCTTTATTCTGGGGCGCCTGGGTGGCTCAGTCTTTAAGCGTCTGCCTTCGGCTCAGGTCATGATCCCAGGGTCCTGGGTTCGAGTCCCACATCAGGCTCCCTGCTCAGTGGGAAGCCTGCTTCTCCCTCTCCCACTCCCCCTGCTTGTGTTCCCTCTCTCGCTGTGCCTCTCTCTGTCAAATAAATAAATAAAAATCTTTAAAAAAAAATCTTTATTCAGTTACAAAGCATTTAGCCAAAGGAGTTGAAAACTTACGTCCATGCAAAAACCTGCACATAGATGTTTATAGCAGCTTTAGTCATCATTGCCAAAACTTGGAAGAAATTAAGATGTCCTTCAGTAGGTGAATATATAAACTGTGGTACATCCAGACAATGGCATATTATTCAGTGCTTAAAAAAAAAAAAGAGCTATAAAGCCATGAGAAAATGTAGAGGAATCTTAAATGCATATTTCTAAAATAGTTTTTTTAAAAAGATTTATTTATTTGTTTTTAGAGACAGAGTGTGAACACAGCGGGGAGAGGCTAAGGGAGAGGGGGAGAATCCCAAGCAGACCCCGCACCTAGTGGAGCCCGACACAGAGATTGATCCCAGGACCCTGAGACCATAACCCCAGCTGAAACCGAGAGTCCAGCACCCAACTGCTTGTGCCATCTGGGTGCCCAACCATGCCACCCAGGCACCCCTTAAATGCATATCTCTAAGTAAAAGAAGCCAATGTAAAAATGCTATACACTATATGATTCCAACTATCTGACATTTTGGAAAAGGCAAAACTACAGAGAGAATAAAAAGATCAGTGGCTGCCAGGAGTTAGGGGTGGGGTGGGGGATGAATAGGCAGAGCCCAAGAGGGTTTTTGAGGCAGTGAAAATATTCTATGTGATACTGTAATGGTGGATACATGTCACTATACATTTGTTTAAGCCCATAGAAGGTTCAACACCAAGAGCGAGCCTTAATGTAAGCAGTGGACTTTGGGTGATTATGATTTGTCAATGTAGGTTCATCAGTTGTAACACATACCATTCTGGTGGGGGACGTTGATATGGAAGGAGGCTGTGCATGTGTGGGAGTAAGAGGTACAAGGGAAATCTCTGTACCTTCCTTTCAGTTTTGCTATGACCCTAAAAGTTCTAAAAAAAATAGTTTTTAAAAGAATAAACATCAGGGACACCTGGGTGGCTCAGTCGTTAAACGTCTGCCTTAGGCTCAGGTCATGATCCCTGGGTCCTGGGATCGAGCCCCACATCGGGCTCCCTGCTCAGCGGGGAGCCTGCTTCTCCCTGCTCAGTGGGGAGCCTGCTTCTCCCTCTCCCACTCCCCCTACTTGTGTTCCCTCTCTTGCTGTCTCTCTCTTTGTCAAATAAATAAATAAAATCTTAAAAAAAAAAAGAATAAACATCAGTCATTAAATGTTTTAATAGACACATTCTATTCAGAAGTTTTTCAGTGGTTCTTTAATTTCTTAAAGATAAAAGATAAAATTTCATAACCTAAAGTTCCCTGAAATATTTTCCGGTCCTCCTCCATCTGCCCTGGTCTCACTTTATTACTACTCTTGGCTATCCCCTGGTTGTCACCAGTATCTGTCATGCTCATTCCCATCTATGGGCTGCTTCATTTATTGACACTTTCTATGTGCCAGGTATAGGCAATACATGCATTTCCTCATTTAACCTTTGAAACTACCATATGAAGTAAGCACTGTTACCTCAATTTCACTAATGAGAATTAGAAGGGTTAAGTAACTTGCCAAAATCACATATTTTCAGAAGGGTGGAGTCAGGTTTCAAGCTCAGATCTTCTGATTTCACAGAGGTGTCCTAAAAATTTGGTTCATCTTCATCATTCTATGAATAAGACACTCTTGAGGGTTCTCAGAGGTTAAAATAAACAAAAACTAACTCAGTGCCAGAAAATGTTTATCATAGAGTAAGCTCCTTAAAAAATGTATTGAATAAATTAAATAGATGTTTTTAAATTCCAGGTAAAAGCCAAAGAAAAGCTCACATTAAATTAACACAAAAGGGGCGCCTGGGTGGCTCAGTTGGTTAAGCGACTGCCTTCGGCTCAGGTCATGATCCTGGAGTCCCGGGATCGAGTCCCGGGATCGAGTCCCGCATCAAGTCCCGGGATCGAATCCCGCATCGAGTCCCGCATCGGGCTCCCTGCTCGGTGGGGAGTCTGCTTCTCCCTCTGACCCCCCCCCTCATGTGCTCTCTGTCTCTCTCATTCTCTCTGTCTCAAATAAATAAATAAAATATTAAAAAAAATAAATTAACACAAAAATGTGGAGAAAATTAGATTAAATATGGTGGTGAAGGATGTTTGCCGGGGTAGTCAAGGAGGCAGCTTCTCTTTAGAAGCGGACTCGAGTCTAGCCCTAGGGGAAGGGTGGGGCTTGCAGGACCTTCCAGCCTTGGGAAAGGGAAGAAATAACCCACAGAAAAGCCCTGGTGTGGTGACCTGCATTAGGCTTGTTTGGAGATTAGGTTGAAGAGAGCAAGAGGGAAGACAATTTAGAGGACTTTGCATATTAAGAAAAGAAGCTTGAACTTTTTTTCATGATCAATTCAAAGTCACCTTATTTTACGGGTAAGGGGGAATATGTTCATAAGCACCATCAAACGTTAGACCTAATGCTTGCCAGGTGATGCTTCAAAGAGACTTGGTCTCCACCTGTATGCTGTACCAGCGACTTCTCCATTTTACCTTAATCCCAAATACCTGTTAAAACCCTGTTTAAGCCCTAACAGAGGCTTTCAACAAGCGTAGTCTATTTTCCGTAAATTCTGGGTTCATTCTATTTGGTAATCTAAGTTATTGTATAAATTTATTTCCCTTAATAGTTTGTTAGTTCCTAAGAAGCAGGAGCAGGCCGCAATTGTGTATCTTTTTTTTTTTTTTTAAGATTTTATTTATTTATTCATGAGAGACAGAGAGAGAGACAGAGGCAGAGGGAGAGGGAGAAGCAGGCTCCCCGTGGAGCAGGGAGCCCGATGCGGGACTCGATCCCAGGACCCTGGGATCATGACCTGAGCCGAAGGCAGACGCCCAACCGACTGAGCCACCCAGGCGTCCCCGCAATTGTGTATCTTTTTACCAGGCCTAGCAAGTAATATTTCCTTTAAAACAAGCAAACTAACAACACTGTAACGTGCCAAGTGCTTTATCTTACAACAAATGTTATGTTGCAGTTGTTTTGTGTATATGCCTCATCTTCCTAGAGGACAGGAATCCCCTCTTTTTAACATTTTACAGAGTCAATCATAGTGCCTAACAAATACTGCATTTGTTCAATGAATACTGACCTGAAGATTGATTTTCTTTATGGTTAATGCATGGACCTTATTATAAAAAGTAAAAGGCCTATCATCAAAATTCTTAAGTTAGTTACGTTAAAGAGAGTGGGATAATTAAAGAGAGTGGAATTGTAAGTTTACACAGATCTTTCTCAATGTCAAGTTATGATATCAAGAACAAAAATGTTACAAATGTATAGTTAAGTCAAACAGGACTTAAGAGTCAGAAGATCCCATGTGGTCACAAACTTTGGGCAAATCACTTAACCTATTAGGAGTGCAGTTTCTTCACAGAGAAAATGGGGTATGGAAAATGAGGTAGGAAAGATGTTAGGGTTCCAAGTCCACGGCCAAGAAAGAATTCCTGAGACATCTTTGGTGCAAAACGGTGGTTTTATTAAAGCAAGGGGACAGGACCCTTGGGTAGAAAGAGCTGCACTGGGATCATGAGGAGTGGCCCATTATATACTTAAAAAAAAAAAAATTTATTTATTTATTTGACAGAGAGACAGCGAGAGAGGGAACACAAGCAGGGGGAGTAGAAGAGGGAGAAGTAGGCTTCCTGCAGAGAAGGGAGCCCAATGCGGTTTCGATCCCAGGACCCTGAGATCATAACCTGAGCTGAAGGCAGACGCTTAACGACTGAGCCACGTAGGCGCCCCACCATTATATATTTTCAAGTTGGGAGGGCGTTAGGGATAGGGTAAGCCTCCCAGTTATTTTGGAAACAAGGTTTCCAGGATCCGGAGGGGGTTAGCTATTGTTGGAAAAGGTAATTTATTATTGTTTAGTAAACGCTCAGTCATGACACCCTTCAGACGTATATCGATGAGTCATATGCTTGGAGGATGATTGCCAACGTGTATTTCGCAGGGTAGAGATAAAGGAAGTCGCCAAAGGAATTTTTATGTTAAAGTAGACTTACAAGATCCTGGGGCTGGGCTAAGATTACCTCTTGCCCTTAGCGAAGAATTAACATTGAGGCATCTGAGTTCCTAGAGGAATTGCCTCCCACATCAGTATGTATAAGCTAGTGCCATGCATATTGCAAAATATTGCCAGATTCCTTTATTTCCGCCAACTAAATTTCACCAGGTGTACTTCTTAGAATTTTATGTTGAGTCAGCCAATATAGAAAACACAAGGGAAAGATGACCAAACTGAAATTGGGGACTATGGAGGACTAATTAGATCTGACCAAGTTTTCATCAATATCCTTTCATTTGCTTGACCTTGGGTCTCGCTCTCCGCCCAGCCCTCCTACAATACCTGCCCAGCAGGATCTCCTCACTCCATTAGCGCGGGCTGCCCCCACCACTTGGTGTTTTACCTGCCCACTCGGCCCCCAGACCCCACCTTTTCCAGGCTCTTGAACCCTCCCTCGCCCAGACGAATTTCACCTGCAGAAAACAGGGAAGCCCACCGGCCCCGCACTCCCCTCCCCAGAGTCATTCTCCCGCCGCCCAGGCTCCCCCGCCCGAGCCACCCGCGCCACCCGCGCCACCCCGGCGCCCCGCCCCGGGCGGGGAGGGTCGGTGCTGGGGAAGGGCCTGCCAGGTGAGGCGCGGTCACCCTGGGCCGCTCACTTCCGCCCAGGTGAGGGAGGGCCGACGTCGAGCCAGCCCGCTCGCTCGCTCCCGAGTCTCCGCCGGACCAGGTAAAGCGGGGGCCCTGGCTATGCGGGCGCATGCAGTGTGGGGTGGTAGTCCCTGCGTCCCGAGGCCGGCGGGGAGCAGCTCTTCTTCCTGCATGGGAGCCCGCCTCCCCTGCCCCCGGCGCGCTCTCCGCCCGCCCTCCGGGAGGAGGTGGACGCGGGAGACCCGGGGCGCCGCTGGGCGCCCAACCAGGCCCACGGAGGGTGCGGGGCGCAGTCCTCCGGCGTCCGGCCTGGGTGACCGCACCGTGGCCCCCCTCCGCCCCCCGGCTTCGTGCACAGCTCGCCGGAGGCCGCCGGCCGCGGAGCCGCCCAGCCTCAGCAGGCCCTGCCGGCCCTCAAATCTCGGCCCACTTCTGTTCCGGGATTGGCGGGGATCAAATTTTGCACCCAGATCGGTGCCTGCGCTTGGCCCCAGAGCTGGGCGGAGTCTTCCTCTGGTGAGGGTGAGAGGAGTGACCAGGTGGGGTCCTGCCACGGGGGCCCGGAGAAGGACGGGGTTCCAGATTTATCTGAGAGGACGACTTGGCTCCGGCCCCATGTGGGGCCGTTGGGGGGTGGGGGGGTTCACATAGCCGAGTTCCCCGGCCGGAGCTCAGGCTTGGGCTCTGTTAGCCTCACTTTTTAGATGGGGAGGATCAGATGGAAAGTACTGTGGCCTCCAGGCTCTGGGGATATTGCTGGATTCCTGCTTTAAGTCAAGCTCAGGAAAACATTTTCAAATCCGCCCCCCCCCCCCCCCGAGAGCCCCAACCTTCACGGCACACCTAGGAGGTGTGCCAAGTTAATCTCCCCCAGGAGCGTTCATCTGGCACTTTGTCATATCTCCAGATGGCTCTTATCACTGTGGATTCCAATTAGTTGTTTACTGGTTTGTCTCTGCAATTGAGAGCGTTCGCCTTTCAGGGCCCCATTTCTCTTAAGGTGTGTTTAGAGTCTGGCCATTGATAGGTGCGCAACAGACAAGTGTTTCTTTTCTTTTTTTTTTAAGATTTTATTTATTTATTTGACAGAGAGATAGCGAGAGCAGGAACACAAGCAGGGGGAGTGGGAGAGCGAGAAGCAGGCTTCCTGTCGAGCAGGGAGCCTGATGTGGGACTTGATCCCAGGACCCTGGGATCATGACCCGAACCGAAGGCAGACGCTTAACGACTGAGCCACCCAGGCGCCCCAACAGACAAGTGTTTCTTAAAGAGGAAACCTTCTGGAGACCTAGAAGAAAAAAATCTGTTACGCGGAGAATGATTGATACCACATTCTAGGCTGTCTAAGCTCCTATTAATTGCCAATTCATTTGTACACATCTTTTTTTAGAAAAAAAAGCTAGTGGGCGTAAAAACGCAAATTGCTTCATTGTGCAGTATCAGGAAAAGTTAGGGGGGATTGTGACTTTTAACTAAGATGAACTTGATGTTTCTAGGCCCCTGCGGCCTATATCAGGATTATTAAAAATTTGAGATAATTAAAAAGTTAAGGGCGCCTGGGTAGTTCAGTCGTTAAGCGTCTGCCTTCGGCTCAGGTCATGATCCCAGAGTCCTGGGATCGAGCCCCGCATCGGGCTCCCTGCTCAACGGGAAGCCTGCTTCTCCCTCTCCCACTCCCCCTGCTTGTGTTCCCTTTCTCACTGTGTCTTTCTCTGTCAAATAAATAAATAAAATCTTTAAAAAAAAAGTTAATAAATATCGGAGCTGGGAGGTAGTTTATGAGATAGAATTTGTAAACTCCATTCTGAAGAGATTGCTAATTGAGATCCTGTTAACAGTCACATAAGATGACCTTGGCATTAGAATAATAGTTGCGTTTAAAATGGAAAAATTATATTAAGCTCTTATCTGTGTTTACAGGCCTTAGTACATTTATTTTATTATTTTTAAAGTAAACTTTACCCCCAAGATCGGGACTCAAACTCACCTCCTGGAGAGATTGTTACATGCTCTACCTGATGAGCCAAACAGGCACTTCTGAAGGCCTAAGTTTAAGTTGTGTATTAATATTAAACTATAAAGCTAACCTATATTCATTGTAGAAGATTGGAGAAAATAAACCCGCCTACCCCTGAATGTAACCACTAATAAAATGATGGTATCAGTTAGTATTCTTAAAAAAGGGAAACCTGTGTATTTTCCCATAGTAGTGAGTTCACTATTAGAACTTTGTGATTCTTAGAGGTTCAGCATTCAGTAATCCTTATAATTGCATTTTTACTTAAAAACATTTAGTAATGGTCCTTAAGCTAAACAACCAAGTAGTTTGAATTTACGTGCTTTGTTTAACAAAAATACATTAGGTTGGGGAAGCCAAAATGGGGTTTAATTTGTAAAGATTTTGCTCACCTTGGTAGTAAATTTTTGAGAGACAGAACTATTCCACCCTTATATTTGAGATTGCTTGACTATTGCTATGGTTTTTTTTAAGATTGATTTTATTTATTTGACAGAGAGAGACACAGCGAGAGAGGGAACACAAGCAGGGGGAGAGGGAGAAGCAGGCTTCCCGCCGAGTGGGAGCCCGATATGGGGCTCGATCCCAGGACCCAGGGATCATGACCCGAGCCAAAGGCAGATGCTTAACGACTGAGCCACCCAGGCGCCCCGCTATGGTTTTTTCATACTCAGATGTTTTTGTGTAGATTTGGATGCCTTTTTTATTTTTACTTATTATTTTTTTTTTTTAAGATTTTATTTATTTATTTGAGAGAGAGAGAGAATGAGAGACAGAGAGCAGGAGAGGGAGGAGGGTCAGAGGGAGAAGCAGACTCCCCGCCGAGCAGGGAGCCCGATGCGGGACTCGATCCTGGGACTCCAGGATCATGACCTGAGCCGAAGGCAGTCGCCCAATCAACTGAGCCACCCAGGCGCCCTACTTATTTTTTTTTAATATTTTATTTATTTATTTGACAGAGACAGCGAAAGCAGGAACACAAACGGGGAGTGGGAGAGGGAGAAGCAGACTCCCTGCTGAGCATGGAGCCCGATATGGGGCTCCATCCCAGGCCCCGGGACCATGACCTGAGCTGAAGGCAGATATTCAATGACTGAGCCACCCAGGTGCCCCTGGATGCCTTTTTTAAAACCCTCATTTTAAGTTCTGGTGCAAATAGAAATTTAGAGCCTGTCAATACCCCTACTTGAGTCACTGGGATAGAACTCTGCTGAAGATGAAGAGCCCACTAACGTTCTGCATTTGTACAACTGTACAAACTCCTGTACACACAGCCTGTGGAGTTTGGAGACGTGGTATTGGATCCACTTACCATAGAACTTGGCGAGTCACTTAACCCTGGTCCTCTGTTTTCCCATCTGTAAATGATCTACCTCACTGAGCTTCAGGGAGGTTGAAATTAAATCCTTGTTAAGAATGTGTCTTATAAACTGTGAGCCATGATTCTCCTCTTTACTCCTCCACCGCGATAACTTCTGCTAAAATTATGGAGTTGTGCTATTTTTAATGGCAAGAACTGAAGTTTGTGAGTTATTTGATAAAAGGCATTGAGACCATGTTAGCTGGTAAACAAAAGTAACTTTTTGCTGGGGATAAATATACAGTATGATGACCATTTATATAGTTTAAAAACCTGTTGAACAACAATATTGTAAACAAAGGTAGTGTGTGTTTTAAGAATTTCAGATTTGAATTCTCTGTATATTGATTACATGTGTTTATGAAGCTGCCTTCAGGTTAAAAGAAGTTAGTAAGGGGCACCTGGCTGCTTCATTTGGAGGAGTATGCGACTCTTGGAGTTGTGAGTTCGAGCCCCATGTTAGGTGTAGAGATTACTTAAATGAACTTAGAAAGAAAAAAATAAGTAAAGTCTCTGTGAGATGAGCATTATCTCATGTTGGTCTTACTCTTTTTTAAAAAAACAAAAACAGAACCAAAGTCCTGCCCTTTGTTTTGGTGCTCTGCACATCTTGCCTAATTAGTAGGTAGCTTTCAGGGGCAGACCAGTCTTCATTTAGCTTTGACCCCTAACTGATGGGCGTGACTTTGACAATAGGGGCTGGGTAAGGCTAAGGCTTCTGCCTTGAAGGGCAGCCAGTCCCCTTGGAGTTATTTTCTGGAGATTTTAATGAGGCTCTAGGACAAGGTAGGAGAAGGAGGTGAGTTTAAGTGGGTGTTGAGGGTTAGGTTGACAAACATTCTCTCACTGTTGAAAATGTGAAATTTCCAACTCTTGTTTTTTAAAGTCATTGACAGTTGACTTTCCATCCTCCCGAGGTGAAATTTCCTCCTTGTTTTTTTGAAATTGTAACAGGGTCTCTGCATCTGCAAAATGGGGGTGATAAATACTACATTGTTAAGATACATGAGATGTTTTACAGAATGTCCTTGCCTTTGGTGCATAGTAGACACCAAAAGGTGAATTAGGTGATTTAGTGACAGATTAAATAGTCTGGGGAAAAGGTCAGGAGGAAGCAGGAGCGGAGGGTGAACATTGGTGGGAAGCCTAGTTTGGTCTATTTCACAATTTGCTAGGATTGTTTTGAATATCATGAGCATGCCGAAAATGCCATGACCATATTTCTGGAGAGAAGGGCATACGGCCTACAGTGTGGGGGAGAATTGAATGGAATATTTGAGGTGGAAACTAATCATTTATGAATGCCTGGGTCTTTTCAGTGAGGGACTGGCTGCACAGAGATCCATAAATGTGAAAATTACCCAGTTTGGGGAGTATTTGTCTTTGTTTTTTGTCAATCAGAGAAAACTGCCACCAACAGAAAGATAAAAGCATACCATGAGACAGTTTAACTTTGTTCTCAGTGGCCAAGTCACAGGCAGAATATTGATATGCATTGATTAACTTTGAATAGTTCAATAAGAAAATTAGTATTTAGCCAGTTGAATTATTCTGAAGAACTGACTCAATTTTCAGTTCTGATTCTAACACGGTATCTTTCATCTTCAATTTCAACATGTCCTGAATATCTAACATTAAGTGCACTTAATTAAGCATTGGTTATGTTCTTTTTTTTAACATTTTTTTTTAAAGATTTTATTTATTTATTAGAGAAACAGCATGAGAGGGGAGAGGGTCAGAGGGAGAAGCAGGCTCCCCGCTGAGCCGGGAGCCCGACATGGGCCTCGATCCCAGGACTCTGGGACCATGACCCGAGCTGAAAGCAGTCGCTTAACCAACTGAGACACCCAGGCGCCCTGCATTGGTTATGGTTTAAGCATATGGCCCCCAAAATATCAGGATTGTTCTGAAATTTATGTATCTGTTTCCAGAATTCCAGGAATGTAGTGTTTTGGCAGGAGCCAAAAATATATTATCTTTTATATCTAAGAGGTTTACAAAAGGCCTTGTCATTTGATAGGAACACAAGACTGTGACAGCTGTCTTGAATCTGTATTAGCATGGTAGCAACATGTGTTTACTTTGGCTAGGAAAATTTGTTTCCCATTTAATTGGTACTTCAGAAATGCTGAGCTTTGGGGACAAAGCCTTGATAATTAGATACAACCTGAGCTTTGCACTTCAAAGGAAGCAATAGAAACTTTACCTGGGTGGCTCAGTCAGTTATCTGCCTTTGGCTCAGGTCATGATCCCAGGATACTGGGATCGAGTCCCGCATTGGGCTCCCTGCTCAGCAGAGTCTGCTTCTCCCGCTTTCCCTACCTCTCCTACCCGCCCCCATGCTTGAGCTCGTTCTGTCTTGCAAAAATAAATAAAATCTCTAAAAAAGAAAAAAAAAGAAAAGAAACTTTAAGTTGTTTGTGGATTTATATTTTTGAATAACTTCTGAAATCATGACTTCATTTATAGTTAATAGCTTTTAGATTGTTCAAACTCCCTGGTTCCCTTGCGCTCTGGGGGAATTCCCAGTGAGGAGTTTGTGATCTCGCAATTCATATCTGCAGTTAGATGCTGAATACCTATACTTTACCAAACTGATTGCCAGTGATCTTTTTCTCCCAAATTTTCTAGATAGAAGTATAAGATGTCTTGGGGTGTTCTATTCTGTGTGCTATTGGGAATCTGAAAAGTATGTTTCTCAGGGTCCTTAGTTCGCTTAAATTCTTGAACTGAGGAGGTTAATCTATTCAGTAAGTCTCCTCCTCCTAGAAATGTAAATTAAATTTCTAGCTCTGCATCAGCTTTTTTCCAAATATTCCATTAATTGGTAATGGCTAAAGGCATGGGTATAAAGAAAAGCCACAATATTATAATAATTTCCTTCAGTCAAATCCTACAGTGAACCAGGCATGAAAAATTCATGGCTCAGACTCTCTTGATCAATGATGGAGTGGAAGCCGCTGAGCATAATAACCACCCCTTCTCTGGAGGCTCTACAACTGGGAGGACAGTGGCACACTGTGGCATTTTAATATCTAGGCTATGACCAATTCTAGGTGGCCTCTCTCTGACAAGTTAGACTCCGCTTGACCATGTTTAAACAAACTTGAGATTCCTTGCTGTAAGCCCTGTTTCTCAGCCTAGTCAAATAGGTCAAGGTGGTTTGGTTGAAGATTTCTTATGACCGTAAAATGAGAGACCATTTAGCCTGCGTGCTGCTTACTGGATGTTGAGCTGTAGAGTTACTGCATTTCTCCCTTCTGTCCTCACATATCCTTAAGGCTTTAGTCCCCTTCCCTAGATATTACCTAACACCATGGACTGTAGTAATTTTCCAGGCCTGCTTGGTGGACAAAGTTTAGCCTTTATTGAATATGAGTCAGAAGGTTGGATTGCCAACCAGTTTCTACTCTTAACCCTTACTGAGGGATACTCTACCACCTTGGTTTTCAAAATGTACAGGATGATCCATTGGGACCGTAGGAAAATGACAATAAAACCTTGCTTTTTAGTGTTTTTATCTCACTGTCACGGCATTTTTTATTTTATGTATGTTTTAAAACATATGACATGTAAATAATAGTATGTGTATATAATTATAAAAAATAAGGGCGCCTGGGTGGCTCAGTCGTTAAGCGTCTGCCTTCAGCTCAGGTCATGATCCCAGGGTCCTGGGATCGAGCCCTGCATCGGGCTCCCTGCTCCACAGGGAAGCCTGCTTTCCCTCTCCCACTCCCCCTGCTTGTGTTCCCTCTCTCGCTGTGTCTCTGTCAAAGAAATAAATAAAATCTTAAAAAAAAAAAAAAAATAAGGTGAATGGTCAACATATTCTCACTGATGGGAATGTGTGTTTAAAAATGTTTGAGGACCACTAATCTATCCTATTACCAGAATTACCTTTTTAAATAGAAATCTGGACTCAATACTTCCCTACTTAAAAGCCTTTAATTACTTCCTGTTGCTTACAGGATAAAGACAGTCTACTTAGCATTATTTACAAGGACCCTCTCAAAGTCTATTTAAGTCTGTGGTGCTTAAACTGTCAGCGGTAAGAGATCAGGTTTCCCCTGCACCCCCAGTCTTTCAAGGACTGATATTTTTGTAACATAATTTATCAGAAAAAGGAATTGTTAGAGAAATGAAAATAAAAAAAGGTAAGTCAAGGTTTTATTACTAAATTGAATAGATCAACATTACTCTGCCACATTACATGGTTTCTAAATGCTTATTCCCAATTTTGGTGCTTATCTATGAGCCAAGCATCAATTTGCAGTCCACAGTTGCAGAAAAACAAACGAACAAAACAAAAACAAAAACCCCCCGCACAAACACAAAAGAACACTTTTTTTTTTGTCCTATTTTCAGAGACCTTATGCTAGGTCATTTACAGCTAGTTAATATTCTCACAGAAATTCACAAGCTTGTACACCTGTGTACAGTAGTTCTTAAATTGTGGCCTCTATGCCAGCAGCCTCAGGATCACATGGGAACTTTGTTAGAAATGCAGATTCTCTGGCTTACCTCAGACCTGCAGAATCAGAAACTCTGGGGGTGGGCCCTGGCAACTTGTGTTTGCACAAGCCCTCCTGGCAATTCTGATGCATGCTAAAATTTGAGAACCACTGACCCAGGGTAGCCCCACAGGTCATTCAAACTGTGACACTTAAAATTTTTAAAAATTTTATAACTGGAAGTTTGTACCCCTTAATCAGCTTTATCTATTTCACCCATCCCTCCACCTCCCCTCTGGCAATCATCAGTTCTCTGTATTTAAGAGGTTTTTTGGGGGTTACTTGTTGTTTTTAGATTCCACATATGAGTGAAATCATATGGTATTTGTCTTTGACTTATTTCACTTAGCATAATACCCTGTAGGTCCATCCATGTTGTCGCAAATGGTAAGGGCTCATTCTTTTTTATGGCTGAGTAATACCTATTGTGTATATATATGCCACTTCTTTTCTGTCCATTCATAACGGCAACACTTTTGCGAGGGAAATGGAACACTATCCATAACGATGCCAGGTAATCTGAGGCTGTTTTAGGCAAATGAAGGCAAATGACCACTCTCCTTTTACACCACATTCTTTTTCTTTTGCGAGAGAAGTTTCTAATGTGTTCTCTTTCCAGCATTCCAAACATCCCCATGCAGGTTTAGTCTGTCTCCCTTTGTGATTTCACTTAGCCCATGGCACACACCACTGCGATTGATGGTTATGCCTTACGATATAATTATCCTATCATGTTGTTGTTATCTTTGTATCTGCATGCTCTCTCATTAGGCCATCTCAGCCATTATCTTTTTTAGTTTTTAAGTGATAAAAATTAGACATGCTTTTGAAATAAAATTCAAACAGCACTAAAATCTATGAAGTAAAAGTCTAGTTTTTTTTAAAGATTTATTTATTTATTAGAGAATGAGAGAGAGAGAGAGCACAAGAAGGGGGAGGGTCAGAGGGAGAAGCAGACTCCTTGCTGAGCAGGGAGCCTGATGTGGGGACTCGATCCTAGGACTCCAGGATCATGACCCGAGCCCGAGGCGGTTGCTTAATCAACTGAGCCACCTACGCGCCCCAAAGTCTAATATTTTTATCTCCCATCCCCGTTTCTAGAAGTTATCACTATGAAATTAACTATCTTTCTAAATCTAGAAATTTACACACAAACACATTTTCCCAATCAGTTGTGTGTGTTAATGTTCTTGTGTTAACATAGAGGGTTGAATTGTCAAAACATGCTCATGTGAACGAGCTCAAACTTCACCAAACCAGCACCAAAACTTACTCATGATTCAGTGGTTACATGCAGGAGGTAAGCACAGACATTCCTTGCTGGAGGAGTACCCAGCCAGTAGGCATTCCGAAGAATGTCACTTTTCTTCTTAGGACCTATTATCGACACACTTAAAATACCTAGTTACATGTAGATTGACATTAAGTCATTTATAAATCTATTTCTGACAGACTTTACCCACAATTTTTAATTTGCTTCCAGGAGTAAATTTCAGCCTTAGGACACATTTTTGTTTTGGGTTACCAGACAAGTTCTCAACAATATACAGAGAAACATTTTTCTCAAAGGAAACCTTTTGAGTTTGGGGAATCCTGAGTTTTATACTCCATTAGTTACACAAGCAGAAAATGTCTGTGTGGTTATCTCCTATCTTCTCATCAGCCATGACCCATAAATCCATACATTTTCAGATTATTTACAAAAAGCAATTAAGACAGATCAGGTATTGGGGCACCTGGGTGGCTCAGTCGGTTAAGTGTCTGCCTTCGGCTGAGGTCATGATCTCTAGGTCCTGGGATGGGGCCCCACGTCGGGCTCTCAGCTCAGTGGGGAGTCTGCTTCTCCCTTTCCCTCTGCTGCTCCCCTGCTTGTGTTCTCTCTCTCTCTCTAATGAATAAATAAAATCTTTTTAAAAAAAATCAGGTATTTACTGACATTTAAAAATGAGGGGCTGTTATCTATCAAAAACCTTTAGGGTGTTTGCAAGGGGTTCTGGTTATCAAGCTGGGAATCCTTCCCTGAAGGAGGGGGCCACAGGCTTACTGTTACACTGTTAACTGATTCCCTCCTCCTCATTTCAATAGATTCAGACCTACTGTATTATTATAATGACTGATTGCTTTTGATAGATCAATTGTTCCTGGAGTTTTCTTTTTTCTTTAAGATTTTATTTACTTATTTGACAGAGACACGGCGAGAGAGGGAATACAGGCAGGGGGAGTGGGAGACGGAGAAGCAGGCTTCCCGTGGAGCAGGGAGCCCGATGCAGGACTTGATCCCAGGACCCTGGGATCATGACCTGAGCCGAAGGCAGACGCGTAATGACTGAGCCACCCAGGCGCCCCTGGACTTTTGTTCTTAACAATGAAGTGAGTATCTTTGTACAACACATCTGTGTGCCCTTTTGAAAGTATCTCTTTAAGGGAGACCCTCAGAAGTAGCCCTTCTGGGTTAAAGAGAATGCAAATTTAGTATATTGATAGCTATTGCTAAAGTTGCTCTCCTAAAAGATTGTGCAAATTTATATTCCCACTTGTTTTTACATGACATCTAGAGTACGTGTTATTATTAATTTTAAAAAATTGCCCATCTGACAGTAAAAATTTGCATCTCCTAGTTTTAGCTTGCATTCTTTCTTTCAGAGAGGTTGATGTTAATGACCACAGAGCTGCTCTTGTCAATCCTCTTGGGCCTTAGGCTGCTATATAAAAGGACAGTGCCACTGAAACGGTCTTTTGTTACTCAGTTACCTGTCAATGGGTAGTTGTAAAGGTTGCACAATTGAGATGCTGAGCTCATCAGCAGTTCCGTGATGCTCTCTTCAGCAGTTTGGTAGTTCGCACTGAATCCAGTGAACATTTGGATGGAATACATGGACCTTTTATCAATGCAGGTGGCATCCCTTCTGGCTTTTAATATGCTTTCCTACTTAGTGACCTTAAATTAGAAGATAAAGATCTCATTCAGCAACTGTATCCAGAGGTGATGTAAGAGAATTTTGACTATATAGTACTCCTATTTCTTTGATGGTTCACTGCAGCCTAGTGTACCATTACTATAAATGACCACCGTGAAAGTGCCAGTTTGGTCCTAGCAGAGGGTTTGCTAGCATTTTGAGTTGTGATTACATTACATTTGAGGCTAGTTTGAACCAGTCACTGGAATTAAAAACAGAAAATGGGGGCAGCTGAGTGGCTCAGTCGTTAAGCGTCTGCCTTCGGCTTAGGTCATGATCCCAGGGTCCTGGGATCGAGCCCCCCATTGGGCTCCCTGCTCAACGGGAGGCTTGCTTCTTCCTCTCCCGCTCCCCCTGCTTGTGTTCCCTCTCTCGCTGTGTCTCTCTCTGTCAAATAAATAAAATCTAAAAAAAAAAAACCACACACAAAAACATAGAAAATGCCAATATGTTGGGTGGTTACATTTTGGAGACTCAGATGACAAGTAGGAATCTGGGACCGTTTTTGCAGCTTGGGGCTTTTTTCCCCCTTAATCTCTCTAAAATATTCTTCATCTCTTAATTTAGATGTTCTTTTCCACTTTTCCAATCCAGGATCCTTTTTTTTTTTTTTTTTTTTTTTTTACAAAATCAACTTTATTAAAGTATGATTTGTGTACAATAAAATGTACTGATTTAAAATATGTAGGCCGGGGCGCCTGGGTGGCTCAGTTGTTAAGCGTCTGCCTTCGGCTCAGGTCCCAGGGTCCTAGGATCGAGCCCCACATCGGGCTCCCTGCTCCACGGGAAGCCTGCTTCTCCCTGTCCCACTCCCTGTCCCACTCCCCCTGCTTGTGTTCCCTCTCTCGCTGTGTCTCTCTGTCAAATAAATAAAATCTTTAAAAATAAAATAAAATAGGTCAATGAATTTGGACAAATGTATACATCTGTGTAAACACTAAGTACCCCATTCAAAACTTAGAACATTTCCATCACCCCAAAAAGCTCCTTCAAATCCTTTCCCAGTCAGTTCCTTTCTACCCTGCACAGGTAAACTAATCCATAACTATAGATTGAACTTCATGTGAATGGAGTCATACAGTCTGTAACCACTTTTTGTCTGGTTTCTTTCCCTCAACATACTATTTTTGAGATGGATCCGTGTTGTGTATATTCGTAATTTTTTTCATTTTCATTCCTGAGCATTCTGTTTACATTCTGTAATTTGCTTATATAGTCGTCTGTTATAGACATTTGGGTTTTTCTTAGTTCAAGGCTTTTATAAATAAAAATGCTATGAACATTCATGTATAGGTCTTTTGTGAGTTTGTATTTTCATTTTTCTTGGTAAGTATTTAGGAGTGGAAGTGCTGAGTCATATAGTAAGTCTATTTCTAACTCTGTAAGAAACTACCAAACAACTTTTCAAAGTGCACGTACCATTTTGCGTTCCTACTAGTGATGTTGAGAGTTCCAGTTGCTTCATGTCTTTGTCAACACTCAACAAATTGTCTGTTTATCTTTCTAGTTTGAGCCAACCTAGTGGGTATATAGTGCCACCTTATTGTAGTTTTTTTTTTTTTTTAAGATTTTATTTATTTATTTGAGAGAGAGAGAATGAGAGACAGAGAGCACGAGAGGGAAGAGAATCAGAGGGAGAAGCAGACCCCCCGCCGAGCAGGGAGCCCGATGTGGGACTCAATCCCGGGACTCCAGGATCATGACCTGAGCTGAAGGCAGTCGCTTAACCAACTGAGCCACCCAGGCGCCCCTGTAGTTTTAATTTGAATTTGAGTGAAGCCTTTTGATGAAGAATGTTGTTGAGGTTTTCTATAATTTTTTTAAAATTTTTTATTGTTATGTTAATCACCATACATTACATCATTAGTTTTTGATGTAGTGTTCCATGATTCATTGTTTGTGCATAACACCCAGTGCTCCATGCAGAACGTGCCCTCCTCAATACCCATCACCAGGCTAACCCATCCTCTCACCCCCCCTTTCTATAATTTTTTTATAGAATTATAGACAAGTATATACTAACGGAAAATCATCTTTTGTGTTTTAAAATTTTTCTTTAGGTTTCTTTGAAAGAAATTGAAGACAGTCATTCAAAATGCCTGAAAATCCTGGTCCAGGTATACTAGTTATATACTTCTGTCAATAAATTAATTAATGAATCACAATGGAATGTATGATGGAATTAACTTGTGCTCTGATTATCCTTCTTCAAACAAGATAAACTGCAGGTCCTACAAGTTCTTGATCGCCTAAAAATGAAACTGCAGGAGAAGGGGGACACATCGCAGAATGAGAAGCTCTCTCTGTTTTATGAGACACTAAAGAGCCCCCTCTTCAATCAGATACTCACACTTCAGCAGTCCATCAAGCAACTGAAAGGGCAAGTAAGTTACTCATCAGGGTTTTTTTTACATGTTGGTATGTTCAAACCAGCAAAGAAACAAAGAAGGAGATAGACACAGACAAACTGTCTCTAAGTACGCTTAATTCAGCAAGAGACTGTCCTGGGACTTGTGACCTGTAGGTAGCATTGGCATGGATAGTTTAAAAATGTTTGTGGGGGTTGCCTGGCTGGCTCACTCTGTAGAGCATGTGACTGTTTATGTTGGGGTCTTGAGTTCAAGCCCCACGTTGGGCGTAAGGCCTACTTAAAATGTTTATGATAAATTTTGTGTTTGGTTTTGGAATATAAGTTGTAATTATTTAAATATGTAAAGGTCAGATGCTTTCAGACTTCCCAACATTTTCTTCAAAATATAAAATAGTGTTTAGCCTAAATATATTTTCTTTCTGAAGTCTTTTTTTTCCCTAGCAAGAAGGGATCATACCCTTGTAGCATATCATTTACACCTCTCAAATATCAATTATTTATCAAATAATTACCAAATAAGTATTAACTGTCATGGATATTCTGGTCAGAAAGTTTTCGGGAGCATTATAACCGGTGTTTTAATATTTACCTGTCTTTCCTCTACTACATAGAGCATAGTACCCAGACTCTTGCGGTTTCTACATGCATATTGTGTTCAACTATTGGCAAAATAGCACTTCTTCTTAGAGTGATGTAAATTAATAATTTTAGCTGTCCTCTTGGTTGCTGTGTTTTGGGGTCAGGGATGGCAAACTGCTTTTAAATCATCTATTCTAGAAGCTGGGCTTGAATAGTAGCTATCCTATGGGTTACTTTTGGGCAGAATTTTAAATGTAATTGGAGATAATGTAACAGAATTGTTAAGAGAAAATTAATAAAATCTGGGAAAACAATGGTTTTTGCTGATAAATCAAAATGGCTGCCCATAAATATTTAGCAAGTGATTATTCTATAACTAAGGATTAAACTCTGCACATAAACCTTTTTGTGAATTTCTTTCTCTAGATCAGAATTATACCATAATTTTATCACTTCCCATATTGATGGTCTGCTTTCTATATTCCCTGGTCATGCGATGAGTCCTGTAGTACAACAGTGAATTCTATTGGTAGCAACAGAAATTGGGAAAGGTCACCACAAATCTCTTACTCTTACTGGACTAAGAGTGGACTTGACCAACCACTGCATCATAATAATAATCTTTTATATTTATGTAGTTTGCAGTTGTTATATGCATAATCATATTTTTATCCATTCAACTGTAAAATCTGATTTTTTTTTTGAGTGTCTCAGAGTTTTGATGGTTATTGTTTTTTTTTTTAATGAGGTCCTGTTGACATTTGTTTTTTTTTTTTAATTATTCACTAGAGAGTAAGTGAGAGGGAGAGCACAAGCAGGGGGAGGGTTAGAGGGAGAGGGAGGAACAGACTCCCAGCTGAACAGGGAGTCCCACATGGGGCTCAGTCCCAGGACCTTGGGATCAGGACCAGAGCCGAAGGCAGACGCTTCACCAACTGAGCCACCCAGGCTCCCCGCCTCCCCGACATTTGTTCTTGGTGTTACCTTCATTCCACTGGTGGCATTTCTATCAGCCAATGATATTTTAAAACTTAACCTCTATTTTCCTATTCACCATAATTACAGAATTCTCTCCCTCCTCCTTTTTTTTTTTTTTTTTTCTATAATGTTTAAGTGGCTCTGTGACTCATTTGCCACTAATCTTGGGCCAGTTAACCTGTGTGTCTTAGTTTTCATGTTCGCAAAATGGAATAATATCTCTTAGGGCTATTATAAGGATTAAATGAGATAACAAGTAAGAGTTTGGTATAGTACTTTGCTCATAGCAGTCATTCAGTAAATACTGTTATTGTTATTTTTGTTTAATTTACCTGTGGATCTTTTGTGGCCTTTTACATGGAAATGCAAAAGGGCTCAGTGTCTACATGTTTATCTGACTGGATGTATCTGTGTATGTGAAGTGTAATGAACTGTTGTACATGCTGTTAACTTGAGGTAATGGTACAAGGCAAGAAGCAACATATATTTTTTTTAAAGATTTATTTATTTTAGAGAGAGCACATGAGCTGGGAGAGGTCAGAGGGAGAAGGAAAGGAGAGGGAGAGAATCTCAAGCAGACGCCCTCAGATCTTGACCCAAGCCGAAACCAAGAGTCAGACGCTTAACCAGCTGAGCCACCCCGGTGCCCCAGGAAGCAACACATTTTAACCTATTAAATATTCTGTGTAATACTAAATAAAAAAAACTGTAGCCTTGCAAACACAGATTCATGTATCTGTGTCTTATTTTTTCATGTGCAAATATTTAATATGCAAATTATACATGTAATGGGCAAAATAGAATACTTAATAAATAGAAATAATTTATTTTCTATAGGTTTCTGTTGATGATTCTCTTGTTTTTCTCCCCAACAGCTCAGCCATATACCCTCAGATTGTTTGGCCAACTTTGATTTTTCTAGGAAAGGTCTATTAGTGTTTACAGATGGTGCCATTACTAACGGGAATGCCCAAAGACCCTCTAATAATTTGACTGTCTCTGGGTTATTTCCTTGGACTCCTAAGTCAAGAAATGAAGACTTTAACTCAGTCATTCAACAGATGGCGCAGGTAAAATTATATCTTGTCATGGGAATATTTAGCTATATTTCTCCTGTTATAGGTTAAAAAAAGAAAACAATACTCTTTAAAAAAGAAGAATACTCTCTTTTTGCCTTAAAATTTGCTACTATGTGTGGTTTGCTTGCATTTTTATTTTGTTAGGAGAGATTGATACTATTTTCTAACCTGTGTATTAGAAATTTATTGGCTTAAAATGACTTAAGGAAAATATGTGTGTGTGGTAAAGAGTTTTTACAAAATTACTCCAATTTGACACATATCTGCACTTGAAAAGAGATTCTTAATGATTTTGATCATAGGAAAATTGATATGTCTGCCAGAAGTGATGAAATTCCCTTTGAACTGTTTTTAACTTTTTATCAATACAGAATTAATGGGAGTTAGAATTAATATGATTTGGAAAATCTCTGGGAACATTTGAGGGAGTAATCCAGTTTTATCCCTAATACGTATTAAAAATTAAACAGTTGAATTTTTGGATGTGTTTTATGTTTGTCAACTCACCTTCTAATAAGTGTCTTTAAAATGAAAGTTGAGTTTTAAGATCACAAAGAATCTGTTTAAGGTGTAATATTTAAATCTACACCTAATTCCTTTTTGACTTTATAGCTCTGTCCTCTTAATTTGACTAATAATTATTTTTATGTGATGCTTCTGTTATGTGATTGCATTTATGAAGTTCTCGTGTCATAAATGCAATTATTAACTAAAGCAATCAAATACTGTTCACTACACGTAGAGCACATTTGAATGGTGGCCTTTCCATAATCTTTTGAATTAACCTAACAAAATGGATTAATTCATCACAATATAATTAAAAACAGGACCCTAACAAATGCAGCTGGTTCTAACTTAGGCTGAACACTGGCATATTTTTTTTTTTTTTTAAAGATTTTATTTATTTATTTGACAGAGAGAGAGAGACAGCGAGAGAGGGAACACAAGCAGGGGGAGTGGGAGAGGGAGAAGCAGGCTTCCCGCCAGGCAGGGAGCCCGATGCGGGGCTCGATCCCAGGACCCTGGGATCATGACCTGAGCCGAAGGCAGACGCTTAACGACTGAGCCACCCAACACTGGCATATTTTTGCTATCTATTTTGCTTTCCTCATTTAAAAACATATTTTGCATGAAGAGAATTTAGAGAAATTCAGTATAAAAAGTAATTCAGAATTTACTGTGGAAAAAGTTTTTTTCCTCAGGAATTTTCATCCAGTGTGGTCTTCATCTCACAATGTGAATGAAGTGTGAAAATACCTCTCTGATTCCCTGAGGTTGCAGAACACTGCACACGCCCTCTTATGTCCTACTGAAGATAATCAAGTGAGAGGATTTCCAGAAATAACGTATTGCTGAAATGCTGAGTTTTTTTGGCTAGAGATGACTTAGGAGAAGCTGTTTGTTGTGTTACTCACAAAAATAGCAATTTCAGTTCTTTGGAAAGAGTACAGTGGTTAAATGTACTTCATTGACTTTTTTGTTTTTATTATCCCCCTTCATTAGGGCCGGCAAATTGAATATATCGATATAGAACGGCCTTCATCCGGAGGCCTTGGATTCAGTGTGGTGGCCCTGAGAAGTCAAAATCTGGGAGAAGTTGATATCTTGGTGAAGGAAGTGCAGCGAGGGAGTATAGCAGACAGGTGAGGAGGATGTTCCTTTTGCGTTTTGCTAATCTTTTTCTGAGAATCCTGAAAACATTATTCTGAAGAGAATAAGAAACTAGTAATTAAACAGTTAACCGTAGCAGCTAACGCGTTTCCTTCTCATATGCCTTTGTCAGGCCTTTAGCAGATACTCTCCCAGGTACTTGGGACAGCCATCTAGCTAGTAATACCATTACCCTGTTCCGTAGATGAGAAGCTGAATTCAGAGAGGCTCAGTGCTTTACCTGTAGTCACAGAGCTGTTGATGCTGGAACCATGAGCCCTGATATGATTCCAAGACAGTCTGACAGCCAAGCTAGTGCGCTTTCTATTCTGCCATACTCTCCCACAATCGAACATGGTATTTTAGCTACGTCTGATCAGTAACATGGAAATACTGAAATTCGGATTCTGCGTACTCTGGTTTATTAAACTTAAGATTAGAAAATTGTTTTTGTGGTCCTATCACACTGTTGATTATTTCTCTTGTCAATTAAAAGCCTCCTTAAATCTGCGTGATTCCCCCCTATTGCACTGTGCCATGGTTTTCTTATTTTAAGGGGTATGTGCAAGCCTTATATTCTGTCTCTATTTGATTTCAGGTCTTTTATTATTCATTTAATAGGCACACTGTTCATTACGTTACTACTACCTGTTAAAATGATAGCAACAGCAGTGGTTCTATTATTAAAAAAAAATTCTCAGCCAATAATAAATTTTTGAATTCACATTCACCATTCATGGAGGATCAGTTCTAGGCTCCCCACCTGAATATTCAGAAATAATGGATTTCCATGACTCTGCAGCTTTTATTCTTGCCATTTCATGTGGCATTTCCTCAAGTATGTTCTGAGGAAACGGAGGAAACTTATCAGTGTCAGATGTATTTGTGAAATTCTGTGCTGTTCTTGGAGATTGGGTTCACATAGTTAGGGTGACCATATAGTTTATTGTCCATGTTGGGAGAGTTTTGGGACTGAGAGGGGGTTCTGTTAATGACCCTGAAACAGCAGGTATAGAGTAGGACTATTCTGGCAAACCTAGACAATCCCAGGTGAGCCCGGACTTCGGGTCACTTACCATTAGTTTACTTTAGGCTATGCTGTCCCTTGACAAAAAGTCTACTTAACTTTTATTGGCCCAACTTTTCTTTCTAAATTTTTTAACTTAAAAAATTATTATTGGTATACAGTTCACGTACCGTAAACGTCTCATTTTAAAGTGTACAATTCAGTAGTTTTTAGTGTATCTTCAAAGTCGTGCAACCTTTTTGTGGTCAATCCTTATGTCTGAGGTACTCTGTACTAAGTCTGTAGTTACAGATTGAAGTGAACATTTTCAAAAAGAGAAGTTTGACATGTTAGTGTGTAAAGAGCCTTGACCAAGGCTAAGCAGTTAGGTGGCTTCCCAGAGACAGCAGTGCTTAAAGGAGTGGGGTCTGCAAAGAGCAGAAGGTGTCAGAGGAAAAGAGAGACTGTCTTGAGCAGTAGTCATATGGAGAGAAGGAACACAGCTCCTATCCTTGGAGTGAGGCTGGTATTTACCTGGTGTGGGAGCTTAGTGCAAGAGAGTACAAGAAAGGATTGGAGAGAGGTGGGGTCAGTCATGCATGACCTTCTAGATCATGTTAAATGGTTTTCATGATCAGTTCTTCCTTTCTCCTGAGGACTTTCCACATAGAATTGTGTTATTTTAGGAGCTTACCTAAGACCATTGTCTCTCAAAGTAATGGGAATCCATTATTTTTGAATGTTGCAATAGAGAGAACTCATCTCAACCTTAAATGAAAAATATGTATTCAGTATATACAAACAGTATGTGGGAGTTAAATTATAAATAATAGTAGCAGTAAAACTAATTCTGTTCAACTTTAGAATCCATCAAAATCATATTTTCCAGGAGATTTCTTTTCTCCACAATTTGTTTATCTGGAGTTGAGGTTATATTCCCTGAGCAGATACTTAACTAGGAATAAGTATAGTGTCCTGGCAGTCTATTGGGGTGGGGGTGGGGGGGTAGATTAAAATAGATTGATTTCCAGAAAATAGAAGATTTGAATGTGAGTAAATTAAGAACTTATCCAAATGAGTTATATCAGGGTTGAAAAGATTTAAGAGTATCTCATTCATTTGGGATTAATTAAGAAATTTTCCTTAATGAACAAGCTGTGAATAGGAATTTAGGTAAAGAAGTCAGAGAAAGAAGGACATTGGAGATGGGAAACTGGAAGTAATTTCTGGTATTGTCCATAGTGGTCACATTTAAAAACAAATGTAGGACTTGGGAAAGGTTCGCAAGCAACATTTTCAATTTATAAAATATAGATTTCAAAATTATGAAAGTAATACATATAATAGAAAATCATAAAATATAGAAATATGATAAGCAAACTCTAGGACTTTGACTACCCTAAGACAACTAGGAAATACAGTTGAATGTTTTCTTTTTATAAAGACAAGGTCATGGAGCATATACAATTTTATATCCTTATCTCAACATAATAAGCCTTTCCTAATATTAATAAAAGGATGTATAAGCAACATTTTTATTTTATTTTTATTTTTTCTAAAGAGAGCACGAGAGCAAATGAGGGGCGGGGAGAGGGGCAGAGGGAGAGAAATCGAGAAAATCCCAAGCAGGCTCCATGCCCATTGCAAGCCCAATGCGGGGCTCAATCCCACCACCCTGAGCTGAAATCAAGAGTCAGACACTCAACTGACTGAGTCACCCAGGTGCCCCAGGATGTATAAGCAACACTTTTATTTTATTTTATTTTATTTATTTTTTAAAAGATTTTATTCATTTATTTGAGAGAGAGAGAGAATGAGAGACAGAGAGCACTAGAGGGAAGAGGGCAGAGGGAGAAGCAGACCCCCTGCTGAGTTAGGAGCCCGATTGATCCCACGACCCTGGGATCATGAACTGAGCGGAAGGCAGATGCTTAACTGACTGATCTACCCAGGCGCCCCTAAGCAGCATTTTTAATGATATCTGATTTATTATGAGAGCCACTCACAATTTTGACCTCAAAAATAGATATTTTCATATGTAACTTGCTAGTTTCAAAAGATAATCTAAAACATGAGTGTCTATCCTCAGAAAACATATAGGTTAGTAGGATTTAGCTAGCTCTGTCGATAGCATATTTAGTATAAATGAATATTCAGTGAGTGGTAAATGAGTGGTTCAGAGCACTGTGATAATGAGGTAAGTGATGGGGAGGGTGGGAAAGAGAGACACTCAGCTGATCACAGATGGTGGATTGATTTGGCTGAGTAGAGTCAAAGGGCATCAGAGGTGGAGGAAGCCATTTACACAAGAGCAGGAAATGCCAGACGTGTTTGAGTGGGAAAGAGTAGGTCAGAATGGTCGGAAAGGGGGTTTATGTGGGAAGGAAGCCAAGTTGGAAGGAGTACTCGGGGACCACATGCACAGGCCTTTGTTTTTTTTTTTGTTTTTGTTTTTAAAGATTTTATTTATTTGAGACAGAGAGAATGAGAGAGAGAGAGCACATGAGAGGGGGGAGAGTCAGGGAGAAGCAGGCTCCCTGCCGAGCAGGGAGCCCGATGCGGGACTCGATCCAGGGACTCCAGGATCATGACCTGAGCCGAAAGCAGTCGCTTAACCAACTGAGCCACCCAGGCGCCCATTTTTGTTTTTGTTTTTTTAAGAGGTAGTGCTTTATTTATTTATTTTTTAAGATTTTATTTGTCAGAGAGAGGGCGAGAATGAGAGCAAGAGAATGTCAGGCAGCGGGAGAAGCAGGCTCTCTGCTGAGCAAGGAGCCCGATGTGGGACTTAATACCAGGACCCTGGGATCATGACCTGAGCTGAAGGCAGACATTTAACTGACTGAGCCATCCAGGCATCCCATGCACAGGCTTTTGAATACCAACCAAGTTTACCCTGTGTCCCTGAGCTCAGAAGTTACCAGATTCTGTTCTGAGGGCACCTGGCTGGCTCCCTTGGTAGAGCATGCAACTTTTGATCTTGGGCCAGTAAGTTTAAGCCCCATGTTGGGTGTAGATTACTTAAAAATAAAATCTTTAAAAAAAAAAGTTACCAGGAGTGCCTGGGTGGCTCAGTCGGTGAAGCATCCACTCTTGATTTCGGCTCAGGTCACGAGCTCAGGGTCGTGGGGTTGAGCCTTGCATCAGGCTCCATGCTCAGCGGGGAGTCTGCTGGAGATCTCCCTCTCCTTCTGTCCCCCAGCCTCCGCCCCACTCTCGCTCTCTGTCTCTAAAATAAATAAATCTTAAGAAAAAAAAACTACCAAATTCTGATCCATGACAAAGTTTTGCTGAATCTGCTGTGACCTAAGAAAGATAAGGGCAATATAATGGAATTTTCATAATTCTGAGTTTTTGAATTAGATAAATCCCTCCTCTGGGAGATTCTGTATTTTGAAGGTTAATTTTCATTTATGAAACTATGATGATAAGAGTTTGTTCTCTTTCCTTTGGCTCTCTCCTTACTGGTCAGTAATCACAGATAATTGTTACACGTTTTCAAGTTGGGCAATACCAGCATTAAGAGAGCCTAGCAAAATAAACCTTGAGAAATTTTGAAAGTTCACTTTTAGGCATTAGAGAAGGATCTCCACTGGATGGTTGACATGGGGAATGGAAGAAGATGGATGGAGGCAAAGAGATAAAGAGGGTTAAGAAGGAACTGAAGGGGTGATGATGGAGAAATGGGAAGAGAGAGTGGTGTCTGGGAGATAATGAAGTCAAATACGTAAATCCTACGAAAGTGAAATACATTTCAGAGTCAGCTAAGATAAGGCTTTAATTTCTTACATGTAAAATGTAACTACCTTTTTTTTTTTTTTTAATTTTATCTTAGAGAGTACAAGTGGGGGGGAGGGAGAGGGACAAGCAGACTCCGTGCTGAGTGCGGAGCCTGACATGGGGCTCAATGCAGGGCTCGATCTCAGGACCCTGAGACCATGACCTCAGCTGAAATCAAGAGTCGGATGTTTAACTGACTGTGCCACCCTGGTTCCCCTGTCACTAAGTAAGAGGTGGTTGTGAGAATTAAATGAGATAATACCTATAAAGCATCTAGCACATTATGTGGCTTCTCACAAGTGCTCAGTAAATATTAACTATAATAGTGTGTTTTTTTCCTTAAGGTTTTGCTAATTTCTTTTTAAAATAGTTCTTTTTTTACCTAGGTTAGCAGTTGGGCAGTTGAGGATTGAGACAGAGAAGGGCTTAAATACAGATTTAGAAGTAGCATCTATTGATTTTCAAGGAGAGTTTGGCCTAACAATTGACAGATGTCGGAGATGTAAAGGATGATCTAGACAGGGTGACTCTTCTAGAGAGGAGGTTATTGGTGAATTTGAGGAGGATACAGTTACCCCAGTGTGGTATATGCTGAAGTCAGGTTGGAAGGGGTTCAGGAGTATAGGATTCGTGCAGAATGGTGGCAGTGTTCTTATATGCAAAACCTTGGCAGTGGGGTCCCCCCACACATTGTTTTTGCTTATTTTTCTAGCCAGATGGTTGTGTGTGTGTGCGCGTGCGCGTGCGCGCACACACGTTTAGGGATGCACCACTTAATCGGTTAGTTAGCTAATAAGTGCTTTGATGAAAAGCACCCTGAAGAGCTGTCATATAATTATTTGAATAAATGTACTAAGTGAAGTAGTGCCATAAGAGATAAACTGTTCCACTTGAATAAAAGATTTTTTTTTAAATGATGCTATTGTATCACTTATAACAGAATTTTCTTATTCTATCAAGGGATCAAAGATTAAGGGAAAATGACCAAATATTGGCTATTAATCACACACCACTGGATCAGAACATTTCCCATCAGCGAGCAATTGCGTTATTACAACAAACCACTGGATCTCTGCATCTGGTTGTGGCCAGGGAACCCGTCCACAGAAAAAGCAGTACTTCTACCAGGCTAACTGATACCACTCTGCCTGAAACAGTGAGTTACAAATTTGGAAAAATATAATTTTAATTATGCTACTGATTTTAAGAAGTGTAAAGACATTTAAAAGATGCTATTTTACTTGTCATACTTCAGGAAAGATCACATCTCTAAATACAGCATTAACGTATTAAACAAGAAATTTCACAGGATTGTTTTTTCAATGTCCTATGGTTCTCCTTATTTAAGATTATTATTTAATGTAAAAGGTGAATTGTTGTATTACGCATAACTTATTTGGAAAGAGTCTTGTTCCTCAGTGATGTAGGCGGTTCTTAATTAAGCTGAGAGTTTTTATTAGAGATTTACTGTTGAGTATCTTAAGTAAGATTTAGTTATGTTATTTATCTCAAAAACATTTTTGTAGATCATATTGGGTATTTATGACTAGATTATTGACACTGCAAAATTATAGGTTTCCTTTTCATGTAAGCATGTATACTGAGCAGTTTAAAAGAATAAAAGCATATGTGTCTTTTGGGAATCTTTCAACTTGGTTTATAAGGTTTTACAGATTTTGGCCTCCATCTTCAGAATGCAAGTTAATAAATCTTACTTTCTTATAACACTAAGTGCTAGCTGATTAATTTTCATTCATTGGGACAAAAGAAACAATAGACCATCCAGGTACAGTACAAGGTCACAACACAAATTACCGTATAGACATTTTCCCTTTTGTAATCGGTGATATTTATACAGCACAATTTACATAATAAATACGAGGAACAAAGTGAGAAAATGCTTTGCATAGTGGTTAAGAACAAGGGCTCTGGAGCTAGGCTAAGATGGGTTCAAGTCCAGTTCTGCCACTTCCTAGCTGTGTCATATCAGGAAGGTTCCTTGACTCCTCCAACCCTCAGTTTCTTTTCTTCCTTGGAACTAATAACAGCATCCACATCACAGAGATAATATGCGGATTACATGAGAGTGCATTGTGAAGAGCTAAGCACAGTGCCTAGTGCAAAATATACACTCTGAATATTAGTTGTGATCATTAATTCAGGCATATTTTAGCAAATTTGTTACTTCCCAGATACTAGATATTGTTTTAGACCTGAATTTATTACATATCCTAATATTCCTGGTTATTTTAACCTTGCATAGTAACTGTCCAACTTAGTATAATAGTAAAACTGGTAAGTATACCCTGTTGAGCTTGAGATGGCGGATTTTATTCTGTGGTTAGATATGTAAATTTAATGCACTTTTTTTTTTTTTTTAAGATTAATTTATTTGGGGGAGAGTGCATGTGGGAGAAGGGGCAGAGGGGGAGAGAGAATCTTAAACAGAGTCCCCTCTGAATGTAGAGCCAGAGGCTTAATTTCACCACCCTGAGATCATGACCTGAGCTGAAATCTAGAGTTGGATGCTTAACCACCTGAGCCACCCAGGCACCCCTAATGCATATTTATGATGGAAGCCTACTAGTTAGAGGCAAAATGCTTAACGTCTCTCAGTTTGATTCATATAGTCTTATTGCTGTGTCTTCAGTGGGGCCTACCTTACCTCTCCCACATGAGAACCTGCTTAATTAGTCTCTTTACCTTGTGTCCTCAGCATTTCATCCTTCATATTGCTGTCAGATTAATCTTCCTAAACCACTGCTTTGTTCCTGTCCTTTTTTTTTTTTTTTTTAAAGATTTTATTTAATTGTCAGAGCGAGCACAAGCAGGGGGAGTGACAGGCAGAGGGAGAAGCAGGCTCCCCACTGAGCAAGGAGCCCAATGCGGGACTCCATCCCAGAACCCTGGAGTCATGACCTGAGCCAAAGGCAGATGCTTAACCGACTGAGCCACCCAGGCATCCCTGTCCTTCCTTTTTTTAAAACCTTCAGTTATTCCTTTTGCTTATCCAGTTAAGTAAATCCAATCTTTTGACCATATCTTTGACCCATTCTGTTACTTGGCCCTGCTTTGCTCTTCCATTTCCCTTTTGCTCGGATGTGGTTTTTTTTTTTCCTCCCCATACTGCAATTAAAATGTGACCGTTTCCTCGAAGCTTTCCGTAATTCTTCATTGGATTCAACCTCTTATCTCTGCCCCTGGTCCCCCGCTCCTGCATCTTTATAATAGTCTGTGATTCTCTTCCAATTCAGGTAAACACATATTTATTGGTTCCTCCTGTGTGCTAGACATTGTGGTAGATATTGGGTACAGACTGGAGAATAAGGCAACATGTCTCTATCCTCTTCGAGCTATGTATCTTATGATTCAGTATTCTGCCTCATATTTTAATTATTTGTGTTTTAGATTATCTTTCTACTGAATTATAAGATTTTCAAGGGCGGGGACCATCTGATCATCGTTACATATCTCCTAGCCTCTAGAAAGTTGCCCTGATTACTTGTAGGCATGTTCAATTTGTGGTATATCTTTTACTTATTATTGTATTGGAAAGCTAAGTATCTGTGTTTCACTAACCTTGGCTTTTTTTGCCATTAATTTGTAGGTTCATTGGGGCCATATTGAAGATGTTGAGCTCATTAATGATGGCTCTGGATTAGGTTTTGGAATAGTTGGAGGAAAATCAAGTGGTGTGGTTGTGAGGACGATCGTTCCTGGAGGATTAGCAGATCGAGTAAGTTGACTCGTTTGTTCTCATTTTGGTGTCATACAGTTTAAATTGTATGGTTTGAAATGTAATTTTATAACATGGGTTACTAGGATATATGATTCCGTAATTAGAATTTAAATATTGCTAAAAAAATTTTTATTCCCATGAATGTTAATACACACTCACTTGGCTTTATTTGAAACATTTCCTAAGTCAACTTTTTTTTTTTTTTGGCTTGTGGTTGACAGTCTTCTCTCTCTTTTTTTTTTTATTCTTATGTTAATCCCCATACATTACATCATTAGTTTTAGATGTAGTGTTCCATGATTCATTGTTTGTGCATAACACCCAGTGCTCCATGCAGAACGTGCCCTCCTCAATACCCACCACCAGGCTAACCCATCCTCCCACCCCCCTCCCCTCTAGAACCCTCAGTTTGTTTTTCAGAGTCCATCTCTCTCGTGGTTCGTCTACCCCTCCGATTTCCCCCGCTTCATTCTTCCCCTCCTGCTACCTTCTTCTTTTTTTTTTTTCTTAACATATATTGCATTATTTGTTTCAGAGGTACAGATCTGAGATTCAACAGGTTGACAGTCTTCTTGATCCCATCAGAGGACAGTATTTTTTTGTTGAGTTGTTAATAGGTATTGTATTTTGAATGTCTGTTATTCTCTCCCAATGTATTTTTCAAGGACCTAAATGCTAAACTCAGAAGGTACAGTGATTATAAACATTTGTCCTAATATTGTATGTGGTAAACTTCACTTGAATTAGTTTTCTCACATTATAAGCCAAATGGCTATACTTCATTATTTAGCAGTTTAAACTGAAAGTGGGCTTTTTTTCTTTTTTCTTTTTTTTTAAACTAGGCTCCATGCCTACCATGGGGCTTGAATTTATAACCCTGAGATCAAGAGTCACATGGTCCACTGACTGAGCCAGCCAGATGCCCCTGAAAGTGGGCTGTTTTAAAACTTATGAACTGGGGTGCCTGGGTGGCTCAGACGGTTAAGTGTCTGCCTTCAGCTCAGGTCATGATCCCAGGGTCTTGGGATTGAGCCCCGCATCGGGCTCCCTGCTCAGCAGGAGGCCTGCTTCTCCCTCTCCTACTCCCCCTGCTTGTGTTCCTTCTCTCTCTGTCTCTGTCAAATAAATAAAATTAAAAAATAAGTAAAACTTATGAACTATTTCTGTTTAGTTTTACATTGAAGAAAATGTTAAACGTTGCATGTAGTTTTCGTTCAGAAATTTGGTTATGATGTCACTTAATAGTGAGCCCATAGTATGTGAACTGTCCATGATAACCAGAATAATATGTAAATTTCAGTAATTGATGTTCAGTTACCTACAAATATATCCCTTCTGATAAGTATAAGTAAAAATGAACTTGCCTTGCAAATGCAGCTTTGAGATAAATTCCTCAGCACCCCATTTCTTTTCAAGATTGTTCCATCTTACACAAACTGTGGAGCTGCTAATATTCCTATTTTTAGCCTCCACTTGTATTTAGAGAAGCTGCTCTCAGAGTTTGCTTTGTGGGGATCCCTGAGACTCTTGTAGGGGGTCTGTGGGATTAAAACAAGGAAGTGGCATCAAACCATGCTAGTGGTCACTGCATTCTTCTCCATTGTGGGGAAAGAGAAAAAAAAAGAAAAAAAAAAGTCAGTCTTAAGAAAGTGCAGCAAAAAATTATTTCTAGCAAATTTTGAAATTTAACTGCATGTCTTTTTAATATTATGTAACAAAATGGGACATACCATACAGTACTTTTGCCACATACTGAATTATGATGGTTGGTTTGAGAAAAATATTTGTGAGACACAGTGCCTGGGTGGCTCAGTTGGTTAAACATGTGCCTTCAGCTCAGGTCATGATCCTAGGGCCCTGGGATCAAGTCCCACATTGGGCTCCCTGCTCATCAGGGAGTCTGCTTCTTCCTCTACCGCTCTCCCCTGCTTGTGATCTCTCTCTCTCTCTCTCAAATAAATAAATAAAATCTTTAAAAAAATATTTGTGAGACAAACTAGCCGCTTTTTTAATATGGAAAACATTTAAAAATTTTTAAATTTTTTGCTCTCATTCAAAAATGTTTTTTGAAATGTGACATATGTTATGAATTTCAGCCATACAACATGATTTGATGTTTTATACTGTGAAATGACCTCCACAGTAGTCAAGTTAATATCCATCATAACAGTTACATTTTTTTCTTGTGATGAGAACTTCTAAGATCTTCTGTCTTAGCAACTTTCATATGTACAATACAGTATTGTTAATTGTGGTCACCACATTGTACATTATATCCCAATGACTTAGTTATTTTATAAATGTAAGTTTGTACCTTTTGACCATTTTCACACATTTTGTCTACCTGCTACCCCCTCCCCCGCAACTTCTGGCAACCACCAATCTGGAATAGTATTTTTATTTTTGAAAGAATAATTGACAGAAAAATTATGGTTTTCAGACTTGGGTGCTTGGCAGACATTTCTTTGAAAATGAATGAAGCAAGACTGTCACTTCAAGGAAAACAACTGACAGCATTTGTGGGTGATGATAAAATTTGAACTTTGAAGCAAAAATTAGAATTCTGGAAAAGTTGTGTTTTACCATGAGCTTGACATTTTCCAGTATTTAAAGACTTCTGATTAGATTATTGCTGATATTAATGTGATTTAAAAAATATTGTATAATGAAATATGTCAATATTTGGAAGATCTGCATGAGTCTGTATGTCAGTATTTTCTGAAGACCAATGTGTGATATGACAATGTATAGGTAAAAGGTCCATTCAGGATTCAGGACTGATCAATAGATTTAAATGAAACAGTATTTGAAAGTTTGTTGATGAAGTTGCAGATTCCATATTGCGGCTGATCTTTAAGAAACCACAAATTGTCAAGTTTTGGTGTGTTATCAAAGAAGAATGGACTCGAAGGGCTATTAAAATACTCCACCATTTTCCAACTATGTATCTAATTGAGGCCATATTTTCTTTATATACTTCAGCCAGAACAACATATTGCAATGTACTGAATGCTAAAGCAGGTGTGCAAAACCAGTTGTCTTCTTTTAAGCCAGATATTAGAGATTTCCAAAAATACTCAAAAGTACCACTCTTCTCACCATTTTGTTGTAGAAAATATAGCTTTTTTTTTTTTTTTTTAAGATTTTATTTATTTGAGACAGAGAGAATGAGAGACAGAGAGCATGACAGGGAGGAGGGTCAGAGGGAGAAGCAGACTCCCTGCTGAGCAGGGAGCCCGATGCGGGACTCGATCCAGGGACTCCAGGATCATGACCTGAGCCGAAGGCAGTCGCTTAACCAACTGAGCCACCCAGGCGCCCCGAAAATATAGCTTTTATTTTCAAAATGAAAAATGTATGCATCAATATATGGAAATACATATTAGTATATTACATGCATTAAATATTTTTAAAATTTCTCTATTTTTTTTTTTAAGATTTTATTTATTTGAGAGGGAGAAAGAGCACAAGCAGAGGGAGAGGGAGAAGCAGACTCCCCGCTGAGCAGGGAGCCTGAGGTGGGGCTCCATCCCAGGACCTAGAGATCATGACCTGAGCTGAAGGCAGATACCCAATCATCTGAGCCACACAGGCACCCCTGTGCCATTTTCTAATTCAGTAGATACAGAGGAGAACCACATAAACAAAAGCTCTTTGAGATTCTCAGTAATTTTTGAGATACAATTGATATACAATAAACCGTACATAGGTAAAGTATACAGTTCATAAATTTGACATATGTTTACTGGCAAGTTGAAATGTGTAGGACAGGGTAGCATAGTAGAAACTCAGGCAAGAGTTGATATTGCAGTCTGGACTTAAAAATTTGTAGGGCTAGTTGGCAAAATTTCTTAGGAAACTCTGTTTCCTATCTGTTACCGTCTTAAGGCAGAATTCCTTTTTCTCAAGGAAATCTCAGTTTTTGCTCCTAAAGTCTTCAACTGATTTGATGGAGCCCCTCTCCACCCCACCTATGTTATCAAGGGTAATGTTCTTAAAGTCAGCCAATTGTAGATGTTAATCATATCTGCAAAATAACTTCACAGTAACATCTAGACTAGTGTTTCACCAAAAAACTGGGTACCATAGCCTAGCCAAGGTAACACATAAACTTTAACCATCATACCATCTATCTCCTCAATGAAGAAAATGAACATATCCATCACCCACAAGTTTCCTGTACATCTTTGTAATGCCTATTTCTCTATCCTCAATAATTAAGAGTGTGAAGGGTTTCTGAGACTAGTAAGACTGAGAATTGTCATTTTATGGATTTTCAAAACACATCTGTGGCAGGAAACATATTCTTAAGGGTTTTTTGGAAATATTTTGTAACCTGAAAAAGAATGAGGTATTGTGGAGTATTTTGATATCTTTTCCCACATTCCCTTCCCCCCATTAGCAATTTTCATAAGCTTGTTTGCTGGAGTAGCATTTTTCAAGATGCCGAGTGGAGTAGTTACTGTGAAAAACAAAGGGTCAGATAAATTTAGAAAACACCAAGTTAAACAAAATCAAATAGACTTTTTTACTGTAAGAATTTTCTGAGCTTTAATATTCTAATGTGCATTAAGAATTGTCACAAGGAGAATATGATGTGCAGTTTCCCAAATTAATCCTGTTGAGACAGTGTTGGGAAAGGCCCAGGTCTGATTTTCAGCCTTTACTGGAAGGGAATGTCACTATTTCAGGTCATCAAGGAGGGGGTTGGGGTATGCCCATCAGTTATGATGCAGAAGCAAATGTTTATACCAGACATTGTTACCTGCCTAATATACATTATTCTCATGTAATCCTTAAAACAGTCATAAATTTTATTTTCAAATTAGAGTTATGGAAACTGTTAAGAAATTGCCCAGGGCTACTCAACTAGAAAATGACAAAGTCAAGATTAAGTCCACATCTGTCTGACTCTGAAGCCTGTCTTTTACTGCTTAAATCTATTTATATGAAATTGATCCCAATGTTTTTCTTTTCCAGATGTATACTTGTCCGGG